CTGGACTCCTTTCCTCACTCCAAGATCTCCCACGGGCAAAACATCGGGCCTGTGAAGCGAAAATATCATGAACATGTGGACCGACCAAGGCCCGATCCCTTTCACCGATGTCAAGCTCTGGAACAACAATTCATCTTCCATCGTGATGATGGAAGTATCCGACAAGAACCCGGTTGAGAACTTATCGGAAAGATCGTGGAGATAGCTTGCTTTGCGAGCTGAGACACCGATTTCTCTGAGTTTTTGCGGGGTCAAAGAGAGGACCGTGTTTGGAACGACGTCGGATTCGTTCCCGCATAGCGAAACGAAGCGGGTGTAGATCGAGTTGGCCGCTTTGGTGGCGAGTTGTTGGAAGATGATGGATTTGGAAAGAGAGAGGAAAGCGGAGTTACAAGGACTGAGTTTCGGTGGGGGATGGGTTGAAATGAGGGTGGCGAGAAGATGATCCGACGTGCGGAGGTGGTTAAGAGCGACGTCGATTTCGGGTTTCGTCGATAGGGATTTTGGGATTTTGATGAGGGAAGGTTGAGCGGATTTGATGGGGTCGTCGACGGTGATGTTGGGGGAGAGTTTTCGGATTTTACGGGATCGGAATGCGATTTTGGAGGACGTTGAGGGGCTTTCACGAAGTTTTCTGACGGTTTTCTGGTGGAGATCACGGTGGTTTGTAGCGGAGCATGGTTCATGTTTGAGACTTGTTTAATTTTTTTTTATTGGGGGTGGGGGGGTGGCTTTGGCGACAAACGGTTATGTACTTATGTTGGCCTTTGGGTTCTTGCACAGCAAGTAATTACTAATTAATTAATTAGTCCATTTACGACTTTGACCTCAAAACAGTCAAACACCACCAACTGAAACATGGAAAAAATATCCATAAAATAGTTTACAACAAACTACATGTTTATTACCTAAATTATTATTTTTATTTCATTTTGTAATTCGTCGTTAAAATCTTAATAGTAATGTTAACTTGTCATAAACTTCCATTTTATAAATCTGATGTGAATATAAAGTAATATTTTATTCAAAAACTTTCAATACTTTAATAATGAACGTTTATACTCATATCATATGTGATGTTGATAACAATAAATCTTTCAACTACTAATGTAGTTTAGTTCATATATATATATATATATTATAACTTATATTTAATAAACTTTAAACTAAAAATCTATATATATATATATATATATATAAGATTTAAATTTAAAATATTTAAAGTATAAAGAAGTTAAATAATTTTAAAACTCTTATAAAATTTTACTAAAAATGTTTAAAAAAATTTAATCTAAAATTTCAAAAAAATCATATTTTAAGATGGAGTCTCAATACTGGCCAAAACTCAAAATCTTGATTTCAAATCTTATTTTTGTATCAAAATCAAGGTGGAAAGGAATAAACAACCATTTTCTTTCATCTTTCTTCATAAACTATTCAATTTGATTTTTCGGAAAAACTACCAAAAATGTAAATCTTTGTTTTACTAAGATAGAAGATTATTTTAAAAGGTTTTTGTGATTTTTAATCTAATTTTAAAAATTAGATTAAATATAAAGAGTAAGAATTGATTGAAACAATGACTTGACTATTATATATAGAAATCTCATAACACTCATTTCTAAAACATTGATTTAATAATCTTTTAGGGGTGTTTGGTTCAAGGATTGTGGGATTCTCATGGGATGAGAATTCCACATTCCCATGTTTGGTTGGCCGGGAATCTCATTCCTGGTAATGTTTTATTACCAATAGTAGATTTTTTGAGGTATATTACCGGGAATATCATTACTTCCCTTCCCTTAGGTATTGTAACATTATCGGCGTTTTGGACTAAAATGCCCTTAATTTTTTTTTTCAAAAATATCATTCTTCTGTCATTGAATAATAAAAATTCTAAAAAGTTTAATTTACAAAATTATCCTTAAATTATTTTAGATTTACAAAAAAAATATATAATTAAAATTTTATATGAAGTTCAGGGGTTAAATTTTTTTTACCCTTTCATTAAACATTTTTTATATTTTTAATTTTGTAAAAAAATTATATAAATATTATAAATTTATTTTTTAAAGAAAATATATATATTTTTTACAATTTGTAATATTATACAAATATATAATAAGGACAATTTGGTCAAATATACATTCCAATAATCTTTTATTCCTTTAACCAAACACGGTAATCTTACATTCCTGCTAAACCAACCAAACACAAAATACAACATTCCCAGTAATCCTATTCCCTGGTAATCTTTTATTCCCACTGGTAATCTTTTATTCCCACTGGTAATCTTACATTCCGTGAACCAAACGCACCCTTAAAGTACATGAATAAAAGTTTTTAGTTAAAAACTCTCTCCTTTAAACTGTGGATTCAATATTTCGTTCAGAGTAAAATTTTCTTTCTTCTCATCCTAGATAGAATTTGTTAAAAAAAATTGATTTGGAAATTTACAAGTATCTTTAGTCTTATTATGGATTAGAAATGCATTAGGAATTAAGGGGGTGTTTGGTTTAGGGTATCTCACATTATTGGGGGAATAGAATGTCATTCCCCCGTTTGGTTGGCAAACATTCCAGCCTCCGGTAATAAGTTATTCCTAACAGTGATATTTTAAGGGTATATACAGGGAATGTGATTACCCATTCCCTTAGGTATTGTTACATTCCTGGCGTTTTGGACTAAAATGCCTTAAATTTTTCCCCAAAAATATCATTCTTCTGTCGTTGAATAAAAAAATTATACAAAGATTAAATTACAAATTTATCCTTAAATTATTTTAGATTTACAAAAAAAAATCATAATTAGAATTTTATATGAAGTTTAGGGGTTAAAATATAATTTTACTCTTTCATTAAACCTATTTATCTTTTCAATTTTGTAAAAAAATATATAAATTTATGATTTTAAAATTTATAAAGAAAATATATAAATTAATTATAGTAATATTAAACTTGTTAAAATAAATAAATATAGGATAGTTTGGTAAAATATATATTTTAATAATATTTTATTCCTTTAACCAAACATTGTAATATTACATTCCTGTAAACGAACCAAACACAAAATACAACATTCCCAATAATCTTATTCCCGTTGGTAATCCTATTCTCGCCTGTAATCTTACATTCCGTGAACCAAACGCACCCTAAGGGTGAGTAAAACTAAACCCAATTTGAAAAAGTCGATTTTTTTGACTTGATTTTACTCGACTCGTAATTTAATGAATTGGATTCACCTAAAAATATATTTAAATTTGACTCGAGTTATAAAATAAAACTTGAATAGCTCAAAAATTTTATATAATTAATTAGATATTTGATACTAATATATTCTCAAAACTTCAAATTTAGAATTATAATTAAAATAAAATAGTCTCAATCAAATAATGTAATGCATTATCACTCGAACTTCATATTAATTTAATAAATAAAATAAACATGGAAGTGATCATTGCCGAATATAGATGACATCTGTCCACAAAATTTAAAGTGTTGGGTTGGGTTTGGCCGCTGTTTCCGAGGATGAACAAACCGCTTGCCATTCCGTATTCGGCTTGAAATGTGGCTTCTATGCTTAGAGCGTATCCTTAGCAAACATTCCTTTGATAATTACACTCCCTTCACCATCATCTTTATAACATAAATATATAAATGAGAAGTTCGATATAATTTATTAATTTTACACTATAATATAATCATTAGATAAATATATATATATAAATAAAAATAAATTAAATTAAATTTAAAATTAATACTATCATTTTGACATTTTCTCTTTTCATTTTACAAGAAAATAGATAACTTTTTTATTTTAATTATTTATTTAGATTAATTCGATTATTTTATTATCATGTAAAATTCGTAAATTTTATTTAATATAAACGAATCTCATTCAACTATTTTTATCGAGGGATGAAATATTACCACATGTATTTTTATCTATTTATTTATTTGTTTTTCTTTATTTTATTATAGATCATATAGTAACACTTCAAGTCTTTAACACCGTTGATAGTGTTCAACTATATCATTCTTTTTATCCGTATAGATTAAGATTCATTAAAAGAAAAAGACCACAAAATTTTAAATTTAAAAATCAATAAAATATAGTAAATATCTGTTTTTAATTATTTCACAAATTCCATAAATCTAAGAGAAGTTGAACAGCATTTTGAACTGTGTTAGACAAAAGGAATCAATCTACATGGATTTGGGAATGACAGAGAGAGTTAAAAATAAGCCACTGAAACAAAGTATTATTAAAACACATTAATTACTTTGGCATCCAAATTTCTACCTCATCATCAACCTTAATCCAAAGTAAAAACAATGAAAGGGTTTGCATTTTGGAGTGTCCCAAGGCGGAGAGCGGTGGTGCAGTAGAGGCCAAATTAACGGTCAAGATTTCAAGATTATGATCATTTCAAAAATGACTGTCCCTTGTTCCCATATGTAATGTGGTAAGAGGGAGATAAGATAGTAGGTTGTCCCAACACTAGGTTGAGAGCAGCTTCCGTAGGAGACCTCCAAATTATGAAATACCTTCCATGAGACTCGATCCCACAACCTCAAGGTTAAGAACCTTGTGCTCTACCAACTGAGTTTGATGGTCATTTCAGTATAAGTGAAAAGGCCAAACCGGCAAAACTTCTGAACCGAACAGTGTCCTCACTGGGAACAATCACAGATTGGTAAACACTAAAGCAATTGGCTGATCAGATTCATCACCCAGACAAGAATCAAACGTGATTATTCTATTGACAATGGGTTTCCTTTTTTGCTCTCTCTCAGTTGTGAAATTTAGAGAAATGGGAAAGAACCAACAGGAAGAAGTAGTAGCTTCAAGTTCAGAGGCTCAGGTAAATTAAACTCAGTTCATATAACATGAAAAAAGTACTTTTTTTAGCATATGTAAGCTTAACAACACGTCGTATAACTATTACATTACATCAGGGAAATCAGTAATCGAATCTAACGGTGCTGAACTGCTGATCATCATTATATTTGATAGAACTTGGGGGAAGTAGGGGAAAAGTGAAAGTCTCTTCAAACAGAAAGGTTTTTATAGAAAACTGAAACGGGAAGAAATTAAAGTTAAAGAAGACTTAAAAAAAAGCACCTAAGAACATAGAATTGTCCCGTTCTTACTCCATCTATGGAAGACAAACGAGGCAAAGAAACTAAACAAAAGAAAAAGGAGAAGGAATTTTGACTAGACGAAACGAAGACCATATCACTATCAACGTGGTAAAACAAAATCTCCATCATCATTGTAATACGTTTCAGCGATTGCTGCATGATCTTGACCGTCAATGGCATGGTGGGTTTCTTTTCTTTCTTGTTCTTCTTTTTCATCTTGTAAAGTCATGAACAAGTCTTGTTGGCATATCAGTGACGTTGAGTCTCCAAGAAAGATAGGGATCGCCATCTTCGATGAACTTGATTTCATCGACGGGCGATGAGAAACAGTGCATTGAAGCCCATGAATTGTTGCTGCTGTTGTTGTTGTACCCGTGATATTGCTGCTCCGCCATTGAAGCGTTTGCATTTGCTGCTGATGCTCTCCTTTCTTCCTTTTTGAATCGAATTCCACAGGCATTGCAAAGTGACTGCAATATAAACAACAGACAAAAGAAATAAAAATCTAAACAATAAAGACACTGTAATCGAAAGAGTCGTTAAAAATTGAAAACTTAAATACCTTTGGACCTCTTGGACCATTCCTCCAAAGCGGTGTAGAAGTTGTGTCACAGTTAGCACAACGACGAGCAAGGAGAGGATCATTACCGGAGCTGCTACCGCTGTTTCCATTGCTTCCACGGCTAGCTTTCGTCGTTTGCTGCGAACAACCATGCGTGTTCTTGTTTTGCAACAAGTCCCAGCAGAAGTTAGACGTGCAAGAATTACCGGCGCGGCGGTCATGGCGTGAACGCCTATCGTCATCTTCACATAGACGAGTGGAAGGGGTTCCCAAGGAGAGAGTGCAATCAACGGAAGAAGACGAATAGGACGTGAAAGAGTTGTACATATCCGTTTCGTCGTAAGATTTGTGACTGGGCATGGGAAAAAGCACGGAGGAGTTGTTTTGGCTATGAAACAAACCACATGAACACGGTCCCACGATGTTTCCCTGAGAGTTACAGCACCTGTGCATCATTTTCCCCACCAAGTTCTTTCTTCTCTATGATTTATATAACCTCCCACCTCAATTTCAGCGCTATATGGAGAAACAAAGGATTTGCAGACGATGAAGAGAAAAAGAAATGAAATTGAAATGAGAATGAAAACGGGGTGAGTTTATAGTTAAAGAGCAAAGACAGGGGAGTAGAAGCCAAATGGAGACCCAAGCGCAAAATGTGTTTGAATGAAAACTTATAAGAGAGAGGGGGGAAGGAAGACTGAGATGAGATGTTGTCTGTTAGCTTTATAAGCTAATAAAATAGAGAAAATAGCAGTCAGCACCTGCAGTCCACGTTGTCGTGAATTGCAAATGGAGAGATGTACATGCGTATATATAGCAACCGAGAAAATAAAGATAATAGACAGTGGGGGACCCAGGTTACATGTTACAGCTAGATAAATATTAGTATTCAAAAACCAATATATAAATATGTATGTCATTAAATACAAGTACTCCTATATCTAGTTTTGAAAAAAAAATACTACTATTATATAAGAGATGATAAAGAAAATAAAAAGTCAGCCGGTCAGCCTCAGTCAGTGCGGAGAGAAAAGGTCTTCGTAAAACTTCGAGTGTGGAATTGCATGTATTTGTTTATTTTGATATATTATTAAAATAATATATTTTATATTTGGTATTATTAAAATGACACTAAAAAAATTAAATTCTCAGGATGACACCTATTTTAATAATATAGGACGAAGGCCAACACAACTAATTTTAATTCATATGAATATAATTTGTACTTGAATAAATTTACGAGAAAAAGTAAAAATACTCTTTAATTTTTGAATTTCGCATCTAATAAAATGTTTTTTGTAGCACATGAGGTAAAAGGTGTGGCAATGTTGAAGCCTCTTCCTTCACTTTGATCACGTATATCAACGGTGTATAATATATTTATTTTATGTGATTAAGATGAGCGTTATTAAAAAATAGATCGAATACATTTTGATTAAATTTTAAAAAGTATATTTTATTAATAATTTATTTTTAAATACTTAAAATAGAATATTAAATTATTTTTTATTCTTTTACCTTATTTAAATTTAAAAATTAAATATAATGAGACATGAAGAACAAAAAATTGGACGTTTTTTTCGAAAAATCATCTTTTTAATTTAATATTCTCGATCAGGCACCGATTAGACTATATTTTCTGATCTAACACCTTTTGCAGTAAGGCGCGCCCCCTGCAGCGCGCTATACGCTGATTTGACGCCACGTGGGGTAAGACGCGTCCTCTGCGACGCGCCTTATGCTGACATGGATACACGTGTGTATGGCGCGGGTAGGTTGATAATTAAAGGTATAGCGCGGGATAGGTTGGTATACCCTTAATTACCAACCTACCCCGCCCGTTCACACCCATCCCTTCCTATAAATACCTCAATTCTCAATCACTTTCATCAGACCAAATCCTCTCAACTTCTCTCAAATACTCTTATATTCTCTTATTAATGTATATTTTATTATATTTAGAATTTTTAGTACTTTATTTAATTATTTTAATTGTTTAATATTGTATTTAATTAATTTTTTTCAGATATAAAATGGAAGGCGATCAACTTGATTAACTTGTTCAGTCAGCCCATAGTGTAAGCTTAATGACTGACCCCAAACAGCACGCACTTAAACAAACTTTGCATACATCTCAATATCGCCATCTGAATAATTACTTTGAGAATCAACCATCATTTCAACATCATCATTGTTCGATAGTTCGAACGCTGTATAAATTAATGACAACAATGATGTTGGAAATCTGTACTGCAACGACGACATTCTTCTACTACTTCCAACATGAATCTTCCTCGAAATCTTCATTATCAGCTCCTCAAGAGTTATGTTTCTCTTGAATGATATTAACACGCTCATTTGAGACGAAAACAACGCCGGTTTCATCTTATCGAATTTCTTCATCATAATAAACAATAGCTTAAAGTCGCGTCATTCTTAGAGTTTAAAAGTGCAACAATATTATATCTATAAAAAAACAACTGAAACAAATTTGATTAAATAAATAATATATGACCAAAAATATAACAGAATAATTTTTTACACATAAACATTAATAATTTAAATAATATAATTTTATATTATTACCTGCACCGCAAAAATATTTCGACGTATGCTCTCACTTTCTAATTCTACAAACACAGAAATTAATTGAAAACAATTAGTATAATATTTTTTTCAAATAATCATATATAACTATAAAATAAATATTATAACAAAATTACCTTATAACGAAAGATCAAGCAAATTTCTGAATCAAATATAAGATGATTGTCGGATGTTATTTACTGATTCAAAGGATTGTTGGTGAGAGAGTTTATGGGAGACGGCTATTTATAGCCGAGAGAGGATGTCTTAAAGCCGAGAAGTTTGAGACATGTTTGATAATTGAGATAATTGAATAGCGCGACCCCTGTCCCGCGCTATATCTTACGTGGCGTATGGCGTGGCCCCTGCCCCTCGCCATACACACGTGTATCCATGTCAGTATAGGTGCGTCTTACCCCACGTGACGCCAAATCAACGTATAACGCGCTGTAAGAGGTGCACCTTACTACAAAAGATGTTAGATTAAAAAATATAATCTGACTGATGTATAATCGAAAATATTAAATTAAAAAGATGATTTTTTTTTAGAAAAACGCCCAAAAATTATCGAAATAAAATTATTGTGGGAAGGGTTGGTCAGTGGGTAGTCAAAAGAGCCCACGTGACTAGAGGGAACGGTCTTCCATGGATCTGCCTTCTCCGATCACGAGGCCCCCTATTACTCTCATACCCAATACATCAAAAACCTCTGTCCGTAACCGTATCTATGCTCTGTCACTGCCACCCTCCCCAAGCAAAATGGAATACTTTCCCCTCTTCTCCTTCTATCCGCGTCTCTCTCACACGCCCCCAATCACTAATTTTATGAATTAAAATTATATATTTTTAATGTCAGTTATTAAATAAAAATTCGTCCGCTTTCCGAAAGGTATATTCATTTGATGGTCAGGTTTCTCAGCAAATGGTCCCAACATGAAAAAACACGAAAATGTGATCCCTCAATTTGTTCTTTTCCAAGTTGGGATTCTAATACGTTTACAGAATAAGGTAAAATATGACAAATTGACGACCACAACCTTGATTATTTGGATTTTATGTCTTGTAATTCCCAAAAATAAGTCTTCATTAGGCTCTGTGGTTAAACTTCTTGTTGGTTTTTGAGAGGGGCAAAGCAAGGGTGTTTGTCACGCCACGGTTTTGCCTTTGGGATAAAATGAAAGCAAAAGAAAAAAATATAGTAAGTTTTATTCTTCAGAGCAATGATCACTGCTAACTCTAACCTGCCCATTCCGTTAGTTATTATAGTCAGTCCAATCCGTTAAATCTTACGTATACTTCGTATTTAAAATTTTAATATAACTAAACATTTTAAATACAAAGCAATAAAGTATGAGATAAACTACACATTTAGTAATTCAATTATTATTTTTATTTTATTTTGATCATCTAATTTTTTAGAAAATCATATTTAATGTTTAATATTTTGTTAATTTTTTTAATGAAAAAAATAAAAATAAAACTTAAATTATAATTAAATATAATTTTTTAAAAATTACATGATAAAAATAGGAAAAAGATCGTTGAAATATTAAATGTATAATTTAGCCTAAAAAATAATAGTAATAAAAGGTATACATACAATGCAATCATCAAAGCGACCAACATGTTGGCTTAGTTTACCGAGAGAGAAGGAAGCTCTTTGAGTCAAAGATGGCAGATAGGTACTCAAAAAAGAGAAAGGGGGCAAAGATATTAAATTTAAAAAATGAAAATTGGATTAAAAACAAATAAGAAATGACCCCACATTCATCATGCTGAATCCCGAACAAAAACAAAATTATTCTCAAGAATATGGTGAAAAGATTAGAAGAAGAAAAAAACACACAACGGGAGAGAAAGGAATCAGATCGTCTAGAGATTGGCGAGGGTCTTACGACAAACTGGACGACCACCGCTTTCCAAAAGATACTCTCCCTATCACCACTTTGCAAGCCGAGGAAAACTGCGATTACCCCAAGGCACTGTGCGTTTCAGTTTTTTGTTTTATTTTTGCTTTTTTGGGTTGTCGATATTTCTAATCATTTTTTAACGTCACGCGATCCACGATTTGGCGGGGTAGTTGTGCTGATGTTTCAATCTGAGCGTGAGATACACGCGCAGGAATGAAGAGGTGACTCAAATATTATGTGTTTAAACTGGAGGAGTAATTGAAGAGAGGATCTGTTTAAACTCTGGGATTTGCTTAGTCATATTCCCAAACCCACAGATTAATGATTTAAGGGTTTGGATACGCATTTATGTTTACATGCTCAATTAATCATGATGTTATGTGGCTCTTTGGATTTCGTGGGCTCCACTTGGTCTATGTATTAGTTCTCCCACATTTCCAACGAAAATCAAACCATATCCAATAAATCGAGTTACTAGTAGAAAATATATATTTTTTATTTATGATAGTATTTTTATATGGATATTGGTAATGATTAATTGAATTTTCTTAGATAATGTTTTTTAAAAAAGGTACATTAGTTAAATAATTCATTAATCAAATCTTAAAATGTTTCTTGGACAAGTGTAGCGCTCTCACAATATAAATATAGATTTTGCTTCTGCTTGCCAATAGCCATTCATGCAAATTTGTTAAATTTATCAATATTGTAAATATTAAAAAAAGCTTTCCAAATAATCTGTATATAATATATTAATAAAAAAAACGGAAGTCGACAGATCGAGTCTTAGATATAGAAAGGTGATATATATTATTATATAGATAATTGAAACATTTAAATTACCAATGTCTTTGGAACAGTAGCGCATAATGTTAACATTCCTCGAAAGCAACGATAAACAACTGGAATGTCTCTAGGGAGATTGGGATTTTTCCCCTTTTTTGTTTTTGTTTTATTTTTATAAATTAATTATTGAAACTTGGTCAAGTGATGTTGTAGTTGGAAGGATGTTTCTTTTAAAAGTAACAATTAAAATTCAAGTGAAGCGAATCAATATATGAAGGGAAAAAGGAAAAGGAAAAGGTAAAACAAATAAGGAGAAGAATAACACAGAGAATCAACATTTATAAAAAGAGTGTTTGTTCGTAAATGACCGAGATTATCTCAGGAAAGGCGGATTAATATACGACGTTACCGGATATATTAAAAGATATTTGACAAATTCGGTTAACGCTATCAGAAATATCGAGTAATAATAATGTAATAGGTGGAAATCATGAAGAAATATTAAAAATTTTGGCAACCGACAAATTTAGCTTGTCGGTTTGTGTCGATACTTTATAAAAATATATTGATCCACAACAATATAACAGGTAAAAAAAATGACAAAACCGGTCTATAAATGACAAAACAGGTAAAACGCTACCGGATATATTGAAAGGGTCGATACTTTATAAAAATATATTGATCCATAACAATATAACAGATAAAAAAATGATAAAACCGGTCTATAAATGACAAAATAGGTAAAGCGGTACCGGATATATTTAAAAGTGTCGATACTTTATAAAAATGTATTGATTCATAACAATATAACAGGTAAAAAATGATAAAATCGGTCTATAAATGACAAAACAGGTAAAGCGATATCGAATATATTGAAAGTGTCGATATTTTATAAAAATTTATCGATCCATAACAATATAACATGTAAAAAAATGACAAAACCGATCTATAAATGACAAAACAGGTAAAACGCTACCGAATGTGTTGATAGTGTCGATATTTTATTATAAGTATCGACACTTTTGAATTTAAAAGAGAATAAGTTATAGCGTTAATAAAGTGTCGATACTTTATAAAAATGTATCGATCCATAACAATATAACATGTAAAAATATGACAAAACCGATCTCGAAATGACAAAACCGGTAAAGAGCTACCGGATATGTTGAAAGTGTCGATACTTTATTATAAGTATCGACAATTTTGAAATTTAAAAGAAAAGAAGTTATAGCTTTAATAAAGTGCCATACTTTATAAAAATGTATCGATCCATAACAATATAATAAATAAATAATAAAATCGATCTCGAAATTACAAAACCGATAATAAAAAAATGTACTTATGATCATTTTTATTTCAGAATTTTATTTTTTAATATAAAAAATTAGATATTTTAAATAAAATTCAATAAAAAAATAAAAACTTTGAAATAACAAAAGAATAACCTTAAAAATTATCATGTTATCATTTTTCAAAGAAAAAAAATTAAATAAAGGGGTTAAAACCTTTAATAAGCCGTCCCACGAAGGATAAGTTGTCAGATTTATGACATATGAGGGACACTGTAACCCCCAATTGTCTCCTCCAAGCTTATGTCTAACCACTATAGACCCCCTTGCGTACATGTATTCAAACCCATTATATCCTAATCTAAATGTTTTTTTAGTAAATTTTAATATAATTTACATTTTTTTTAAAATAAAAAAATATGTTTTTATTAGAGATATGATCCTATTAAACTGAAATAAGCCACAATAAAACTGAAATAAAGTATGGGGGAAAAAAACAAATAACTAAGAAAGAGAAATGTCTGGAAAGAGGCCGGCCTTTCTTCTTCTTGCGTGGGGATAGAACGATGAAACGAGCTATTTGCAAGAGAAAAACTGAAATCAGATTAACCTGTGTGAAGCAATCTTCCCAACCAGTCAGCTATGGGGGGTCTAAAAAGCGTCTGTCCTCTGCCGCTTGGAGCTCCACTGCTTGCGGTGCTTCTTCTATCCAGTAGCGATCGAGCTCCCCAGATCCGGTGTCATGAGCAAGGAGGTGGGCTGCATGATTCCCATTTCGAGGAGTGAAACGGAACGAGCATGCATGGAAACCTTCCGCTCTCCGACGGGCTTCCCAGATCCAGGCGCTGATTTCCTCCAAGGAGGATAATTTGTTGATCACCGACTTGGAATCACCTTCTATAATGACTCTCCCAAATCCCAGCTCCAGTGAGAATTGAATTGCATGAAGAGCTGCTTGTGCTTCTACTGAGAAAGCTGAGGTAATTCTCTTCGTTTCCTTTCTATAAGCTCCCATTATATGGCCTAAACCATCTCGGATTATAACACCTGTCCATGACTTTTTCTGTGCAAGCAAAAAACGAGCGTCGAAGTTAACTTTGACAAAAGAATCTGGTGGAGCCATCCAACGCACTGGAGAGGGACCAGTCATATTTATCAACCGAGCATTTGCAATTACATGTCCTCACACTGCGCGCGAATGAGAGTAATTAATTCTTCTCTCATTAGCACTTTTCCTTGATGAAATTGTACATTTCGGGCATACCAGAGTGCCCAAATAATGATCAAAATCTCTGCATGCTTGCTGCTCGGGTAATTGTTAAACAACCAAGCTAACCAATCAATTTTATTAAAACCAGAAACATGATGTGGCCACTGGAAACGCATTCACCCATACTAATTGAGCTAAACAACAATCCCTAGCAACATGAACACCCAATTCCACTCCTCCATTACATCTCGATCAATTAGGGCTATTAATCAACCGTTTAGCATAGAAGTTTTGTATTGTGGGGATGAAATTTCCAGCGAAACGCTAAACATGAATCTGAATTTTTCGCTGATAGGAGTAGCCCAAATATGTTTGTTAACGGTTTTCTTTACTAGCGAGATATTTAAGACTGATAATAAAGCCTATATCCACTTCAACCGAATACACTGTAGACACTAATTTTTTATTTTACTTATTTTTATTTTTATTAATATATTATTATTATTATTAAATTATAAATAATTACATATTACAAGCCCAACCCGATTATATCATGCCCGATCTGGCCCAGATGGCCCAAAACTAACCCTAAACCCAAATAGGGTTTCATCATCCCAACTTCCAGCCGCCAATGATTACAGCCGTTAGATCTAGTCTTGATCCAACGGCCCAGATGGTTCTAGCAATAACCCTAGGTTATCATCTTCCCGCCGTTGCTTCCAGAAGCCCACCACCGCTCCACTACCAGGTGGCCCAACCATCCATTGCGACGCCTAGCTATTCCATCGCCTCGCCGAAGCCTCCAGAAGCGTCACGAAGCCACACACGTCGCTGCTCTAGGGGTGAGTCACCACCATAGTTCAGTGACTCACCAAATGACCCTCTATTATCTGGTTCGAGAGCATTCGGTGGTGGCTATAAAAGCCACCACACCTGCAAAGAGAAAGACACGGAGCAACCAAGAGAAGGAACGGGAACAACAACCAACGACAACGGCGACAACAAGCAATACAACTCACAACAGCAAAATATCAAACCAAAAAAAAAATAAAGGAGAGAAGCTTACCGAAGAATGCACGGACCGGAGCTTCCACGCGCCTCCGAGAGAGTCGAAATACCGAAGGTATTTCTATAGATTTAGGAAAATCTAAGGTTGTTTTAGAAAAACGGTGGTCGGATTTGGTCAATGACGGCATACGGTTACCGTACGTCGAACGGATTCCCTCCGGTGAGGGAATCCTAAGAGAAGCGAGAGAGATATCTTCTCTCATTTTAGAGAGAGAAGAAGAAAGGAAAAATGAGAAGAATGGCCCGAAGGGCCGGCCATTTGGGGTATTTATACCCCTTCTCAAACGACGCAGTTTTTGGGAGGGGTATATGCATAATTTCATAATGGGTAAACTATACCCGCAACCATCACATATTTGTATATTTTCATTTTAGTCACTTAAAGCAATTGATAATCATTTTAATTCGGTCTCTTAATTTTATTTTCTTTATAATTTAGTCACTGCCATACATTTATATATTTTAAGTAAAATAACCGATTTAGTCACTTTAATTTTAGTAATTAATATTTTAATCCGAATAATTAATTAGGTTAAATTACACTATTAGTAATTATTTTTTACAATAATTTGAATTATAGCCTTTAATTTTGATATTTTACATTTTAGTCACTGATATGTTAATTCTTTTCATTTTTAACCGTAAGTGTTATTGCTTTTTAATTTAATCTTATATTTTTAATTTCTTTCAATTTGGTCACTATTTAATTACAATTTATTTTTATTATTATCTTTTTAATTTCAATATGTTTAATTTAATAATATAAATATTATTTATTTTAGCATATAAAAATATATTTAATTAAATAATAATATTTATTTATTTTTAAATATTAAGATAGGACGGTCTTAAAATAACTTTACGTCATATTCTGGTATTTAAAAAATAAATAAATATCCTGCTTATAAATATATATTTACTTCGTTTTTATTATTTTTAAGAAAAAATATTATATTCTTATTAATATTTATTTATTTATTAATATTAAAGAAAGAGACTGACTTAAAGCAACTAGATGTCTTTTTTAATATTTTTAAATAAATAAATACTCTATTTATAAAATCATACAAACATTATTTTAAATATATTTTTTAGAATTATTCGATTGAATATGGAATAATAGGATCATAAATTAAATTTATATTCTAATTCTTAAATTCTATTATTAGAGAAATTTATAATCGACAATGACCAATTTTGGGCGTTGTGGGGTGATAATCATTCCCCAAACGTAATCGATCACGAATACAACAACAACAAACCCAATTCCCATAGGCAATGGGGTAAGGGGAGGTAGGGTAGTAGGCTGCCCCAACGCCAGGTTGAGAGTAGCTTCCGTGGAAGACCTCCGGCAGTCAGAAAATTAAAAATTAAAATATAGATAAAATGCAATGCATGTATAAATAAATACAAAAATACATAGTTGAACAGTATTCATATGCAGTTATTAATATCATATGCGCGTCTGTAATGGGCAGTAATCCCTGCAAAAAAAATCCCTGCGAAAAAATCTCTGTATATAGATAGAAACGTAAGACCCGACTAAAATTAAAAGTGGAGAGAATGATACACAGAAGTCAAACGATAGCAAGCCCAGTTCTAAGCCTTCATAAATACCAATAACATAAACAAATAAAAGTAGAAGTCATGGAAATTACTACAAAGGCATTAAAAGAAGATAGAGATGATACACCCTAGAGATGTGACCCACACTACTCGACTATCCTAGTCTTAAGTCTCCATACTTTCCTATTAGAGGTCATGTCCTCGGTAAGGGCTAAATCCATCAAATCAGATCTCAATCAGTCTTCTCACTTCCGCCTTGGTCGTCCTCTCCTTCTGGCACCGTCGACTGTAATCGACTTTACCCTCCTGACCACATCTGACGATAGTCGCCTAAGGACATGCCCAAACCACCGTAGTATTCCTTCCCTCAATTTTTCGGAAACAGGCACCACCCCCAAGGACATCCTAATAGCAGAGTTTGTTGTCATATCCCACAGAGTCCTACCGCATGTCCATCGAAGCATTCTCATTTCTGCGGCCTCTATCCTCCTTACATGATCCTTCTTGGTTGCCCAACATTCTGATCCATACAACAGCGTGGTCTTATTGCCATTCTATAAAATTTTCCCTTAAGTTTTAGAGGCACATTCTTGTCACACAAAACTCCAGTAGCGGCCCTCCACTTTAGCCATCCCGCCTTTATACGGTGTGTAACGTCATCATCTACACCCCCATCTTTATATCACAGACCCTAGGTACTTGAAACAATTCTTTGAGGGGAGAACGTGTCCTTCTATTATTAAAAAGAATGAATTTTTGGTTAAACGCAACCAGTTTATCTTTTAACTGATGTTTTCTTAAAAACTCTTTTAAAAAATGATTTTTTAGGTATTCGACCTACCTAATCCAAAAGGCCGATGGCGACTCTAAAACATTTCTTTAAAAAAGTCATTTATTTATTCACATTACTTTTTTCGCCAAGTAAAATTTCGTGCCCGTGCGAAATTCGGTTACGAGAGGTTGGCGACTCCGCTGGGGACCCTTGGTCAATCCTAAGTCGATTATATATTCTCTATAATTAAAATTTAGAATTCAATTTTATTTAATTTATGATTCTTTTTATTTCTTTCAATTTATTTTATACTCTTGTATATTAATATTTAATTGCTTTTTAGATATTAATTTTTGTGTGAAAATTTCTCCTCACACACAACACTTGCATTGCATAACATAAGCTTTATAATTGAGCTTTTCCCTTTTAAGTGGGAGTGAAAGTGACGTATTCGTGAGAATTTATTCTCCGTGTTAGACCTAGCAAGTAAACTTCAGGGTTTATATGCTCTATATCTTCATGAGAATTTATTCTCGGTGTCAGGCATAGAGAAATGTGTCCCCTCGAATTGAACTCGATCCGCTTAAGTCTGTAATGGACTAGGGTTGAGGGTTTGACAACCCAAGGGGGCATCAACAAGGACAATTCGAGTACCTTTACTCATAGAACTGAACCTTGCATATAATAAACCCTAGAAATTCACCCGATCTAAGACAATGCTGAAACCCTGTCCGTAGGTGTACACAAAGGAGAAATAAACTTTAGCTTTTAATTTATTTGATTTTTTTTCTTTATCCTAAATAAATACATGCGAACTAGAAATCATGCAGTTAGGTTAATTTTTCCAAACAAAGCATGAAACTAGAAAACATGAGGTTAAGATTTATACCTTGATAGATAGAATTTTTTTCTTTCCATTAGTTGGTACTAACCATTTTATTTCTTTCTTTTATTCTTATATTTTGTAGATACATTGTGTTTTGCTCTAATTTGTTTATATTGATTTCTTGTGCTTGCATTGCATGATCATGACATAACCAGAAGGTGTTGAATCTTGAGAGTGGACATCAAATTGGAAAGAATTCATAAATGGACAAAAAGTTTTATGATCAAGCAAACTATGACTCAGTTAAGGAAAGACATCCTGAGGGAACTTCGAAGATAGAGGAAAGCTATACACCCAAAGATCGTATGCCCATTGAAGAGCAAAAGGAGATACGAGAAATAATAGAGCAGATGTCCAAGATGATGGGTAACATATCTGTTTTGGCCAAAGGAAAAGAGACTCATGCACAAAAAGAGAGAGAGGTCAATGAATATAACCCTGCAATCTCAAATATCAAGGAACTTCGGATCTTAACCAATTTGAGAAATTACAGATAGTCATCATTCGTATTCACAAATTGTCTGGAGATACCAAAGAAATGGTGACAATTGTAAAAGCTCCCAGAGATGAGAAGAAATCATGTAATCTGAAATCGTCGAAGTTTAGACTGTTCCCGACGTCTAAAACTTAGGTTCAATCCAAGACAAA